TTAACGTTGTTGTTGGCATTTGTGCTTTAATAGCAATGGATCTTTTTGCCGCTGGAGCTTGTAGGATCAAGGAACGCAAAAACATGAATAACTACAGATGTTTGAGGTGCGTTGTGGTTGTTGTTGTGGCAGAGTTTTCTTGCGGTATTGCCGATGCTCATTTCATTTAACTTTTGCAATACTTCCATGCAACGTTTGCAACATGTTTGCCATGTGGCAAGACCACAGAGGCCGGGTGTGCAACATCACCCACAGAGCATTTGTTGTAATGCATCTGGTGATGCTACTCAATTTTCTGCTTATTGTCAGCTCGCCTGTCGGTCGCTTGCGCGCTTGTTCGATTGGTGGTTTGGCCAGAAAAGCAGAAAAAATGACTTGCAACAACGCATCAGTTTCGGTTTCAATCTGCTCAGTCACCAACATATGAGCTCGTATGTTGTGTTCGCAACATTTCCCCCCTCCGGCAGCGACAGCTGTTGTATTAATGGCTTGCATTGGTGCTAATGCTTTGTTTGGCGGATATGAGGTACATTTGTTTTCCAGTAAGCTTATCTCCTTACTGTAATGCTTTGCATGAAATTTATTTTTGCTTTCACGAGAGACGGAAATGTTGTCGGTTAATATTAATTATTTGCATTTCGTTCCTATCACATGTGTGTGTGTGTGTGAGTGTGTGAATACCGTTTGAATTATGCGCACATCGATGTTGATTGTTGTTGTGATTCATATAAATAAATCGCGTTTGCTTTCAATAGGCAACAGGTGGAAAATATCCACTTGGATAATTTGTGAAAGTTTGTTAAACGAATTTAGCGATAAAGTCAAGAAATCCACAGGAATTACTCAAGGATTTGCTGTTTTATAAAACATATTTTAATTTGCGTGAAGAAAAGCTGATTTACTTTTAAATTATCGAGAAAATATATAAATAAGAAAATAGTTGAATTATAGAACAACAAGCCGAATGTGGAACCAAAGCCGTGGACCGTTAATTTTTCTAAATTAATCACATTTATGTGAGTTGGAGTATACATTTTCAAGAACATCTCGACAGTTGGGGAAAAATAATGGTCTACATCTTCTCGATAGTTTGTCCTTTTTACTTCTTAAGAGTCAATTGGTTGCTGTTGACAGCTTATTACTGTTACTAGGGTCGCCAGTGGTCGAAATTTGATTAAATTTTGTTGAAGAATTTGAACAAATCGTGAACAAAATCCAAAGAAAGTTGTAGAAAACAATTTAGAAAAAATTAAAATTTAAAATTAATTCTTGTGCAAAATAATTTGTTCTGTTTCTGGTTTCGGTCGGCTTAATTCTTCCAAGAATTAACAATCGAATGAAATCGGCTAATCTGAATTTGTCGTTATATGTGGCCAGGTATGCAGCTGCGAAAAGATGCAAAATGATTAGCATAAAATATTGATGGATTGTTTGAAGGAAATACCGATGAAGTCTCAAACTGGTGTTCCATTTTGAAATCTTTTCAACAAAGAAATTATCTTGTTTTCGTTAAAAGTTGCCAACAAGTTACAAACCAACCGCACGCAAATAAAACGGGAAAAAATTCAATCACTTCCTATTTCATTGTTGTTGTTGATATTGTATATAAAATTGCGTTCGAAAATTTTTTTTCCCAACAATTAACTATCACACGGATTTTCCTAATCCAATAGAATTGAAACTAAATTCGGTCCCGAATATTGCCTTCCCTACCAGAGAAGAGTGGGAAAGGGACGAGGTGGACAGGAATGCATTTATACTGATGGGCCCAAACTAGACAATCCAGTGGGAGGTGGTGTCTTTTCGGCAAAATTAAATACCAAAATCGCCTTCCGTTTACCAGACCACTGCAGTGTCTTCCAATGTTGTTGATCTATTAGAGGGTCTAACATCCTACTTCACGATAAACCTGCAATGGGTTCCAGGGCATAGTGACATCCCTGGTAACTGCGAAGCAGATGAACTAGCCAGAACAGTCATTGATGATATATTGTAAGGTGCTTGCATAAAAATATTTATACTGATGAACTTCATCAGAAGCACAGGTTGGTTTAGAGTGGAGACTATAGAGTGAGGGAACATTAGTCCCGGTGGTATCACAATGGGCCTCTTACAGGCGTCGTCAGACAGCCACTCTACCTACCTACCTACTATCACACAATGCACTTCAAATGAATCTAAAAATTTCTAACTCACTAAAATAAAACGAATGATATCAAAGGTTATTTCCACTTTTTTACAAACAATGCTTGAAATTTAATGTGCGTTAAAAATGTAATTGTAACAGAATTCATTGTTACAACACGCAAAGTTCAAATACAATTAAAAGTGGCAAAAATCGCAACCACAAATGATACACAATTATCCGATATACTTGTATGTACATATTTGCAATTTATACAGAACAGCGACGAAATGTACTTCTTTATAAGACTGTGTTAAGCGTAATGCGCAAAGGAGAAATAACATCGACTATTGAAAACGCGCCACCACGCTTGTAGTGGTTGTAGTCGCTAAATTTTCGCCAATGCATTTTTACCTGTGTTTACGCTTTTTTAAATAAAAATATGTCGAAGAATAACAAAATCTCTATGTAGCATAATAAATCAAAAATCTGCCAAATTATATGAAGTTTCGCGGTCTCCAAAAGAAGCGTTTGTTTCCATTTTGACTTCCACATTTGAGTGAAATATTTTTCCAGTCAGCCACTTTTTGAATCTGGTAAAGAGAAAATTGTCGTTGGGAACAAATTGGGCAAATATATTGTATGGGCGACTAGTTCACAGCGTAGTTTTTTAAATTTATTGAGCGTCACAACCGTAATGAGCGACAATGTTGCAAAAATGCAACACTTCACGGTTTCACGGTGTTTTCCGGTCTTTTTGAACAGGGTGCACCATTTGTGTTATTTTGGTTATGACGAAATTCAGCAAACCAATTGTTGAATATGCTAGGAGAAATTTTCCGCAACAATTATCCCCCTTTTTCTTGGCAGTAACAGTGCTTTTCCCATCAGGAAACAATTTTGCATGAAAACATGAAATTAACTTTTTCCATTGTAAACAAAAATAGCAGAGGTTGCTTCACTTTGAGACCAGTAATTTAAGAAGGATTAAATAAAAGATCATGAAACTTTGGCAGAATTCTAGTTAAGATTTTTTTATTTAGCAGCGATACTTCGCTCCTCACGTAGTACACCAAGTAAACACCATCCCACATATATATAGTATGTCACCATATATTTCGATTGGATTCGGCAGACACCGTTAGGCGATTAAAACAACAAAAATTTATGTGCTTTTCCAGAAGTGGCTGCCGGCCTTAAAATAATATGTTCTAGCTAAAGCGCCAGGCGCATGCCTAGTGGAAAAGCAAGAGCCGGTGGCAGCAAGTACAACACTGGGTAAAAATAGAAAATAAAATACAAAGGCACGAGGCGAAAATGGAAAAGTCTATTTGTTAAGCAAACTGTTGTTCGGAGATATGTTTATTATGTGTGTGTATGTAAACGAATCAACAATATAAGTAATACAAATAATTACCGCATAAAATGCGGCAATTAAATGTTTTCCTTAGTTTTTTGCTTTTGTTTAGCGTTTCCCTAATTTCCCGCCGCATACCGCGTTCGCTTGTGGGACTTTTTCACTGTGCAACACCTCAAAACGCGCGCCACACCACATAAGCTTTCATGTCAGCGTCAGCGCGAGCTAAACAAGTTTCAGCTAGAAGCGAAGATTTATTTTTCCTTATTTTACAGTTTTTTTTTTCAATTTGTTCAATTTGATTTTGTTTTTGTCTGTTTGCCTTTGTCAGGTAGCAAACGACTAGCGGCACATGCGCGTCGAGCGGCGCGTGTTAATTGTAATTGCCGTTGCAGTTGTTGTTTTTTATTCTCAACATAGATAGCAACAATAACAACCAAATTTGTATGACAACGGCAATAACAACAAAACGCAAAGTGCAATTTGTTTGTGTGAGTTCGATGTCTTTTTGGTGAATAACGTTTAAGCCAAATTTGGCTGAGGCTAAAGTTTTATTAATTCTCTAACGGATTGCACGGGTCGGGCGAGTGTTTGTGTGTATCTGCGTGCGCTAAGAATATCTACAAGCAAATGCACTTGTGTGCAAGCGTTTCTTACTTGAAGGCACACAAGGTACATATGTACATATATAAGTATATATGTATGTAGGTATATAAAGGCGCAGTGCAAATACGGAATGGCGCAATGGAGATATTCGTATATTGCACAGATTTACTGTAATGCGGAAAATTGCTTTATTTAGGCGGCGCGGTGACGTTGACTGTGCTGCTAAGCTGTTAGATTTTCTTCTCCTATCTTGACGCTTTCATATTAGAACTACGGATATTCACACCAGGGAAGCCAAGTAATAGTAATTTGTAACTCACATGCTTGGGTGCTTAGGAGGCGAATTAGTGGAACTCAATTGCGCATAATAATGCTTTACTTTGTGATTATTTTGGAATTTATGAATAGGAGCCTGATTTCAAGCGAAGCCAATATCTTTTCTATTTTACCTTTGCGATATGAAGCACAGCTGAGAGAATTTGAGTAGAGCCTTGAATGTTTTCTAAACTTCAGAGTGAAAGGTTTTTTATTTATTCGATGTTTCAGCCGAGATAGGAACATATTTCAATTACATAGGAAAGGCCATAGATCTCTCTGTTACATTATTTGCGAAAAGTGCCGTTAACGATTCGCAAGTCCACCTATTTCTCTCTCTAAATCTAAAAGAGTCACCATATGGGTTATTCTTATCGTTCATCAACGTTTATGGGTTCTATGTAATCTAGATAGCCTTGGTGTTATACCCGATCAAGTTCTGCCTAAGCTGAACTGGAGGTCTTCAGCTGAAGAATTTAGCGAGTTCAATTGTGCGTATCATTAAACTTACCTTCTTTACAACCGAAGTTTAATTTTAAATTTTGGTGTATCCATTGGAAGAAGTGAATCCAAAAAGAAGCGGAATTAAAACACAAATTTTATTTTCCATATACGTTTTATTTACGCGACACAATCTTTACTGGACATAAAGTACTAAAATGCATATTTATCGACTAATACAGTTACAAGTTTCATTTATTATTTAAAACTAAACTAAAAGAGACTAAATTAGACGAAACAATCAACGAAATGTACACACGCAACATTTACATATAAGCTATGTATTGAGTATATATGTATTATAGTATGTTATCTGCAACTTGATGCCTTTGAAATGTTTCTTGTTTTTGCTGTAATTTTTTGTAAAATTTAAAATTCTCGACATTTGCAATAATATCTGAATTTTCTTAGTCTGTTAAGCCAATGTTTTTGTAGTGCAATTGAATCGAGTAATTTTTGTGTTTTTTGCATGCTCTACTTCTAACTTTATCCTTTATTTTACTTGGTACATAACTGTATGTATGTATCTGAGAGTATGTGCGTGATGTTTCTAATATTTGAATAGTGTTTAAATTTAATTTAATTCTTTTTACGATTTTACTTAAAAACGCTTGCACTTTTTTGTGGCAGTAGTTGTTCGTTTGCTGTTCATTTATGTTTCCACTCGTATGTAATTCGTTTTGTTTTTGTTATTGTAATTATGTTTTTTAGCTTGCTGACATTTGTAATAATTGAGTTTTGAGTTTTAGCTAGATAACTATTAGTTACTAAAGATCAGTATTCTGACTTTTCTCATTCTACTATTTAACATTTTGATTTATAACGGTATGTGTAGCGGATTCAATTGAACAGCTGAGTAAATATGTATGTATGTGTCTATCTTAAGGTTTGCACATTCACAATGCAAAAGTTAGTTGCGTTGTTGTTTGTTCAATGCGCTTGGGTGTGCAGCAACCGACACAGCCCGAGTTGAGTTGAGTTGAGTCGAAGTTGAGTGCGCTTACTCAATGCTCAGCAGCAACTGCACACCCACACACACTTCCCTCTCTGTGTTTTATATAAATTCTTTACTTATTAAACTAATTACTTTTGAAAATGCTAAGGAAGGCATTGCTCGCACACGCGAGTTCGCTTCTCCACATTGTTCAAGAGCACACGTGACTGACAAAAGCATTTAACGTATAAATATAAAATGTAAATTAACTTAACGTACATAAAACTACTGGGACACATATGCGACTGCAAGTATGCATGATTAATAAACAAATAAAATGTAATAAAATGATTCACTTAATTTATCGAATATTGAAACGTCGCCGGCCGGATGGTCTCGCGCGGATTTAAATATAATAAAATCCGCCAATGCCGACTCTTCGCACTTTCACATGGTTCTACATACATTTTTCACATAAAATTAAAATCACAATTTTAAAGACTTGAAGCGTTGTTGTTGCATATTTTGTTTACTTTAATTCATATTTAACGCAGTTTATCTTGGACAGCTTCCACTTCCACTTTCACTTTCAATTTTATTATCATTATTTTATTTGTAATTTACTTATGGCGTCCCTCAATGCCTCGGCGGACCTCGGAAAGAATCTTTGCAAGATTCAATGCGAAGCCAGCACAACACTGACATATTTTACCTCCAGTTTTCACCTTTCCATGATGGCTGTGCGTTTTTTGCAAACTCTTATGTTTCTGGTTTCTGGTATTGTTTTTTTTTTTTTTTGGATCTCATATTAATTAAAAAATATTATGGGCAAAATATCAAAAATTTTATATTTTTCAAATATTTTTTCGTAGCTGTGAGAGATTCAAAGACTTTGCGGTTGACTTTTGAATATTAGTTTCTTTAAAAAAATGCCAAAAAATAGCCAACCATCTTAACTAATTATTTAAACCTACAAATGTGTATGGACCTTGCCACAATACCTTTAATAAGCCAATAACTTTATTAAACTTTGTTATTTTAAATGATTTTAATTGCTTATAGAAGGCACAATCTAATTAATTGGGAAAAATTAGTTTTAAAGCTTTCTCTACTAAGGTAACTTATTGTTTTTTTTTACTCCATTTCTCAGTAAATGTGTTTAAAAATCTAATTTCTAGGTATGTGCATTTTATTTTTGATGTTTAAAGTTTGTAGTGGTTCTGTAAGTTCTGCAATTGACATTAGCGCTGGTGTTCCAATCGTGGTTTCTTACTGGGCGAAGATATCGGATCAGAAGCTGAAAGTATAAGGATGAAAAAAAAAAAAATCTTTGATTCAGTCTCTCTTTAAAATATTATTTTTCATCTTTTCAGGTGGCTTAGGTCGACTGACCTAAGATTTGGGGACTGAAGACACTTTCATATTAACAAAAAGACGAGCAACATATTTTGACTTATAACATAGACTTAGGCTAGAAAAATATATGCTATTTACAGAGATATTTTTCTTGAAAAAGCCTTGAAAATTACCATCAATCACATGTCTTTATCAACACTCAGTAAGGCATGCAACTTTTTCGATTTATTGCCTCACCCCGTTTTTAGAACTGTTGCCTTTAACTAAGATATTTTATAATTGTTGAGGCCTAAGAACGGCTGTTTCCTCTATTCCACTTAGTGGACATAACACAAGTTGGAAGGTGAAACGAGAATACACGAACTTATTAGCCGATAAATTACAAAATGTGAGCAGAAATTACTCAGAAAGCGGAATATTTCTCAAGCTGCTTTTACAGTACGAACAGCGGAAATAACGGAACTGATATCATTCTGAGCTCGGCGGACACCTTCGTCAAAAGGCAAACAAACAAAGGACGTACAATGTTGGCATAGCAAAAAAGGCTAGAAACAATTTTGGGAGCAACGGCTAATGTCATCAAAGTGAATATTGAAAAGCGCCGACTCGCCGAATAGGAGGACGCGTTGGCGTCAGACAGTTGCTGCTACCACCCGCTGTTGCTGCGCTGCGAAAATGGAAAATCGAGACTGGAAGACACGATTCAATTTGCAAATTCTGCGGTATTTTCTTCTAAATGTTGCAGCAACAATATTGCTTCAATTACAGCAAACATTGCACTGATTTGTTTTCCGCTCATTTTTTTAATAACACGCTCGTTCATTTACTTTGTGTCTCCTGTCTTGTGTACGAAGACAGAGAACTTGGTTGTGATTGCTTAATTTAAATAGCCTCTAATGATTTGGGTGTCTACTGGAGCAACAGCCAATCAGTAAAGTAAATGGCAGACTTAGAAATAATTGGCTGTTGCTTGACTTTAACGCAGTAAGAAAACAAATGAGGGGGAAAGATAGGGAATAATCGGTTAAGAGTCATTTTAAATATATAAAACGATTACTGAAAAATTTTTACAAATTGGGAGCAGCGGTACCATTACTATAGGCTCACCTATCTTCTAATACTAAGTTCGAATAAATCACGTGAACTTTTCTCACCTTAAGATAATGCATTAAATTTCCGTTCAAGCAGTTGTGTGTAGGTTTCTAAAGTGATGGCAACATCATTCATCTTTCATTGGTATGTACCGTCTTCATTTCACAGCAAAATTAAAGTATTAGAAATAGCTATGCCCAATATTTCTACGAAAGATCGCATTTAAAGTCTATATATGGCATTTTCTTCGACCACTTGTCCCGCCATTTTCCCGTACCGCGCTGCTGCATCCCTTCCACCACCTGACTACAAATACAGTGTCGCCTGTTGGCGGTGATCAAAGTGATGTATATATAATTTCTTTTTTGACTTCTCTTTAGATGGCCGCAAATCCCAGACTAAATTCGATAGACTACGAGGACGCGAGAGGCGACGCGTCTTCTTTTCGGGCAACTTGTTAGAATCACCAGAGGTACGTCCGCCGCTGCGTGACGAGTCAAGTGTACCTTCGCGTGGATTATGGTGTATGACTCCCACACCCATACCCATGCCTAGGCCGGCTACAGCTGCTAAGCCACCGACAGTGCTGGCGCTTTTGCTAAGCGGTGGTGGTGGTAGGTGCGGTGAGTGATGCGACTGGTGGTTGAGGATGCTGTTGCATTTGAGTACCACATCCGGTGGTATTGCGGTTGACTGATTACCTTTGGGGTTACTTGAGATCGGTGTGGCGGCAATGGAGGTGTTTTCGGGCGTCAACTGCAAGCTGCTGAGGCTCTTGTACCTGTGGGATAGAGTAAACGTTTGTCGAGATTGGATTAACACAATGAAGGAGTCTTAATGAATATTTACGAAAAAGCATTGAGGGAACAAAATATCATTTTCTACGAAATTCAATTAATTTAATGTCCGTTAGGCGGCTTCTGCTTACCTGATATGAAAGAGTGGTGACTGCGGCTCCAGAATGCATTCCTTACTGGCCCCCATAATACCGGCACTAAGTGGCCCATTTACAGCATGTGAACCACTGTTGTTATTGCTGTTGCTAGGTGTCAGCACTTTGCTGTGGTAGTGATGGACATGATGCGCTGATACCGCTGCCACTGTGGCATTCACCACGGCTGCAGTCGAGTTGCCTGTGTGTGCATTTTGCGTCTGCGCCGAGTGATGATGTTGATTATGATGACTGGCTGCCGCGACCGCAGCCACTGAAGTGCCAGAGAGCGCGTTACTGCTCGCACTATTCGTGTTCTTCAGATAAAGCTTTGGTAATGTGGGACGTTGCCGCTTTTCAGGCAACTTCTTGCCCGGTATAGTCTCAATGGGCGGTGGCACTGGCTTGATGTCCTCTTGAACATGGTTATGGTGGTAGTGATTTACCATGGCTCCATTGCCTGACTGATGGGCATGTGGGTGCGCGTGGGGGTGTGGGTGTGCGTGGTTGTGATGATGATTGTGGCTGTGACTCTGATGATGGTGGTGATGGTGATGGTTGCCACCAATGGTACCGCCACTGCCGCCAGTGTGGTTGTGATTGTTATTGTGGCTGTGATTGCTGCTATTGTGACTGCTATTCGTGTTGGTGTTCGTCGTCTGCTTGACTGATTCTAAACTACTGTAGTTGTTATTGTTGTTAATATTATTACCGCTACCGGCACCGCCACCGCCACCGCTGTGATTTGTGTTGCTACCGCTGCTAGCATTTAAGCTGTTGCTATTGTTATTGTTGTTATTGTTGCTGCTCGCCTGCGCGCCCACACGTATGAGACTGCAATAATTGCCGCTACTATCGGTGTGATGCGATTTTATAGTCGGCGTTTCGCAGATCGGCTCAAAACGCGACAACCCTTTAGAGAGTGGTGTCAGGCCGCGGACATAATCGTATATGTGATCGATTTCGTTGTACTCCTCAGCGATTTCGGCACTTGTGAGTACGCCCGCTGCCCCACCGATACCCTTGCCATATGCATCACAGCTGGCACTCTTGCGTAGCACATAGCCGTTCTCCATAAGGCCGCCGGCGACTGCTGCCGATGGCAACATAACCACAGGTAATTTGTTGCGGCTACTGAACTTGGAGTCTTTCTTCTCCTTCTCCGATAACTTAAGATCAACTATTTGCAGGCGATCTCGTGCATCGGACAACAGACGCTGCGCCTTTTCGAGGAATCTGGTATACTCAATAAAGTGCTCCAGCTGCTCCATGTTGCGTGCGCGCTGCAACTTAATCTTTACATTTAGCGGTACTGGCACCAAATCGTGATCCTTCTGCATGGGCAACGCAAATATACGATCGATTTCGACACAGCCGAGTAGACGTAACTCTGGTACGAAGGGTTGCTTCAGACCTTTGGGAGCACTACCATGGACAAGTCTAAAAATAAATGCATATTACAATAACAGTACATTCACGTTATACCACAGGATGGAGTTTAAGGCTTGTGTTTATGAAAAACTTTCAAGTGTCGTTGAGGTGTTAATATTTGAGTCCAAAATAATTTGCTTCGATTATAACAATGCCGTCTGATATTTAAAGAGTGGTAAAGTAAAGTTATAAAGTAAACGCAGAGTTTTAGAAATATCAATTAACTGAAGTTTGTGGAGCAACGCAAACGGATATGATATAAGGTCTACAATTGCAAAGTCCTCGGTTTTCAAATATTTTTATCAAGTTTAAAGAGAAAGCTCTGGAATAAAATTTCTACACAACATACCTCACAATGACTGGCATCCGTTTGAGTAGTAGATTCTTCACCGTATGCACCCCACTAATGCTATCCTCCTTGGCGATGGGTGAGAATTTCGCTTTGGTATCGAGTGGCAAATTGATGATCTCGTCTTTAATATTCTTGCACTGCAAGTACTTGCCATTGTCGTTCATCGTTGTCAGTAGTTCGCCCGCGTGAATTGTGCGATTCATTTGCGTACAACGAAACGTTTCACGCACAAGAACGCGTAAATTGCGTCGCTTCGAAAGCTCGAGCACCGAATCGATGCAACGAGTTGAACGGCCATCTTCGCTGAGTAGTTCAAAGTAACCGGGATAGGTCTCCGGTATGAGCACCTTTGCACCTACATTTGTCGTCTTGCGTCCCTCCTTGATTTTAATCGGCTGTGCAAGTATCTGATACCTTTTCCCGGCGCTTAGGAATAGTGCCGTACTCTGAAGCGAAGGCGCCGACAGAGTGGGCACACCAAGGTTCTGATGTTGCCCCTTGACGATTTTTGCGACAGCCGGCAATTTTTGCTTGGAGAACTCGCGAAGGTACACCGGTGGTTCGGTGTCACCGAAGCGGGAGGCGGCCAGTATTATTTGGCCATCCGTTGCGGCCATCTCGCGATTGAAGAATGAAAGCAGTTTGTTGCGCGCAATGCTAACATTAATCGTGAGTAAATTTCATTCGCGCTGCGGCACCGTTGTCGCTGATGGCGCTACTGTTGCGGCTGGTGGCGCGGCTTCTGCTGCGGCTGCAGCTGTTGTTTCCTCTGCGCTTGTTGTTCTGAATGTTGTTGCGTCGCTGCAGATGCACTCGTGGCAAGTGCTATGAATAGGTGGTAGTGTTGTTGTAGTGGATGTTGTTTGGTAGTTGTGGATTACTTCGCTCTGCGCGAATGATACTTTTGTTGTTGCGGCTGCTATCGCTGCTGAATTACTGCTACTGCGGCGCGATGTGCCTAATATGTTGTTCGTCGTGGTGATTATCGGTTGTTGGCGGTTATTGCTGTTGTTGGGATTTTGGTTAGGGAAATGTAAGTCGATGTTGTTGTTGGATTGTGTCCTGATCGCGATGTTTGTGTGCGTGTTAGTGTAGTTGTTATTATTGTTGTTGAAGGCGGTGTTTGTGTTGGTTGTGGGTGCGGACGTTGTGAGGAATCGTGAGGATGTTTGCAGTGCGTATGTGAGATACTGCATTCGGCTTCGTCGCGATACACTCTGCCGCTAAATTCCAGGTATCGTGGTGCGTAAGTAATCGGTTCAATGGGCACTCTATATACCACACACCAGGTTAGGTTTAGGCTGATATCTGTAAAAAAAAAAGGAATAGTTAGTTCATATGCAGAATAAGCGGAAGAACGAGTATTCCTGTTGGAAGCGTCGATGACACAACTTTTGGTATATTTACTTTGTATGGGGGTTCATTAATATATATGTATTAGATATGCATTTCTCAGGCAACCCTATTTAAGATATTCCGCAGAGCTTTGATGAGAATGAAGTTACTTTTAGTTAAGAGTATTTTTATTTTTGTTCCATGCATGCCACGTTTGTCTGCTTTTGAACAAGTCATTGATTGACTCCTCACCGAGACTCAGCTAATTTTATAACATGTTTTTCTATTAAATATCTATAAGTGGCCACAGGTATATATATTCCTTCTTTTCCGAAGCCCAATTGTAGGGTGGGGCCTGTTCTTACTTTCCATATAACACAAAATTAAATTTAATCTGATTGTGTTTACTTTCCAGTATACAAATCAGGCACTAATGAATATATGAAAATAAAACTTTGCCAAAAAAGTGCCTTCAAGAAAAAAAAAATTCTAAAAATTTAAAAATTAAAAAAAAAATATATATAACAATAAAACTAAGTAAGGTTATGACCTATAATACAACTTAATAAAATACCAAGTATGATTGTTATTCATTCACGATTTCGTCAAACAATTAAGTTGAACATTTTCGCAACATTTTTTAATATAAAGTTTTGCCAACACCTGAAGGTATTTAGAAGGCTTTGATTCTTGTGAGTTGCAAGAGTATAAAATGTTCGGTTAAACTCGAACTTAGCCCTTGCTTACTGATTCATGTATGGAAATCCTTTACAGTTTAAATTTATGCATTTCCAAGCAATTAGTAATTTTTCAGTGATGGCTGCCTTGCTGTAAAATACAACAATTGAATGAAAACTATTCTGTAACAACTCAGGCGGAGAACGTGGCTTACGTCACAGCAGCCCGTGGGCAACAGACGTATTTTATGGGTCTCCTTGTTATTGGCTCATAAAAATGTAAGAAATTATGCAATAAAATGCAGCTACGAGCACAAACAGATGAACAACAACGCTGTATTGTTATATGTATATAGTATATATAAATATGTACGTCTGCGTTCATAAATATCATTTCAAACATCCGAAGCATTGCTGTGTGAATGTTGCAAGCAACTAAAAAGTTAATTGAAATCAATTGAGTATATTCAACAGGCAAGATATTTACATATTAGTGGCGGAAATACACGTTCTGCGTTCGCACATACATATGTACATATCCATATTAATTTCCACGCTTTCAGTTGCAATTACAACTACTCCTTGTTTGATTGCTTACGTGCTAGAGCAATTGCATGCGCTTTTCTACCATTTACAGCTCATGCATTTACGTATTTTTAATTTGTCGCAACATAAAAACGCTTGCTAGTGGCAAGAAGAGACGAGTGCGGAGTGTCAGCAGTGTAGGGCTATGAAGCCTGCAACAACATGACGCAACGCAAGGCACAACTCAAGATACAGGTAGGGCTTGTCCGACATATTGGTTATTCATTGCCACCGCAATAAAAACGCAACACGACGACACATGTGCTGTTGCTGCAACACACTGCTTTCGTGCAACACTTAAGGATTGCAAGAACAGGGCTCTGAAGCCGTTCGCAGTGCGTAAAGCGTAAAATAGACGAACTCACATGTACACACACACATAGAGCTGTATAGGTTGTGGTTGCGTGTGCCTGCAGCAGCTGTTGGCAGAGAATGTCAGTCAGGAAGTCGTGTAGCCGGTAGATGTGGAATCCTTTGAAATGTGGTGGATTGCTGACCGCAGCACCGGGCGTACCTGTATCGATGGCATTTGCTCGGCCAAGCTGCGGCTTTTAATTTTTCATCTTATTCGAGTTTTTACGTTTGCTCATAAATATGCAAATAATCGTATGTGTTTTCCAACTTGCTTACATTTCGATTTCATCTCAATTTCGCTTTTGTTCTGCAATTCTAAAGGTTAGGCCTGGTTGCAAGCCTACAGCTTGCGTAGAGCAGGTCATAAAAAAAACGAAATATTTAGATGTAATGGAGTGTAGAGATATTTAAAACGAAATCAATTAAGTTAAACCTTTTCTAAGTATGGTAGGAAAGCTGGCTTTTGTTGTCATTGCCGTGGATTTTAGGATCTTTGTTACTAAACTTTCTCACTTATTACGTTAGGATAAAGAAATTGGATAGTGAAACAAAAATTTTCGCTGCATTTGTGGGGAGACCTGGACTTTATTCGACTTTATTCGACAAATGGAAGTAAATAGAAAAGTTGTACTCAGTACGACCGACAAAAGAAACAGTCACACTTTTTAACTAAATATGGAGTATTCGCAAAAGAATGAGAGGCACAAAAAAATGAAAATACATTTTTACGTACTCAGAAACTCTTACAACTTCTAACTGCAGGCTAGATATTGTCTCCATTTTCGGTCCATCAGTGCCCACTGCTGCTTCGCGAGTTTGTTGTTGTCCATGTCTTTGACAAACAATGTTGTTCTTCTTCTACTATGGCGTTGGTAAATATTTCCTTTTCGCATGCTTGTGCTTTATTAGGCCATAAATAACACCTTGTAAGTCATTACAGGTATTCAGAATTAGCAAGTTACTCTCGTGTCGCAACTCTCGGAGGGTCCCTTGTGTGGTGGCTAGATATGTGGTCGCAGACGACTCTGATCTTTTCATGCCTACAAACAACCATTCATGTTGTTGATGTTCTACACAACACAAATTAAGTACATATGTATCCAGATAGAGTTGCATGTTGTGCAACTTTGGTACTAAATTGCAGCACTTTTAATGGAGCCACATAAATTAAGTGCCATTAGCCTTAAGTCATAGCGGCAGCAGACGACATAGTTGAAGTTCTTATAGTACTTGAAAATGAAATTGTTATTCAAATTTAAATAAATACGGCACTACTTGCATTTTTAACAGTGTTTTACTGGATATATCTAATTTCAATCATAGGTGAAGTGTTGTCAGATTGGACGGTGTTCAATCAGAATATTTTGCTTGCTACTTTCGGCATTCCACAAAATAGTAATATGAGTACGTTTTCAAATCCAATGTTAAATACGACTGTGAAACATAGAATCTCGTAGCTTCTGGTATCCAAAAGCTAAACGTTTTCACAAATTGATTCCTTCGCAATATTTGCCGCATTTACTGGTCCGCCACAGTCTCTAACACCGACTTATGGTCAGGCGTAAACCAAACACCACACAGACACAATCACCCGGATCACTATCGACTGTAATCCACAGTACAGCAATGGAGCAATATCCGAGGTCTAAAAAAGTTGGAGCCAAATCAAGAGGCTAGCACAAGATCGAAATGGATACAACAGTTTCATTGTGGCCCTTTTGCTCTCCGGCGGATCCATAGGATACAATATATAATATTATCAAGATCTTTCCAGTTGCAAAGAACATACCTGATAAATTACAACTTTAATATGAATACAGTACTGTCTTCCATTAAGGAGCTTAGAATTATGTTTGATTTTAATTTTCAGTTTCATGGTTTTATTAACAGTGGTTCCATTTTTGATAAGCGAGTGGCAAACAAGCGCTCAGTTCAAATTAAATTTTGGCAAGATCCTCGCTGGAACCATTTACTGTAGGTAAAAGATTTTGACTGCTATTCTTAGAATCTATTAGTTTCAGTCGTTTAAGAAGGTTAGAATTCCGAATTTTTTGCTCTTTTTCGGACTCGATAAAAAAAAAATTTTTTTTGTTATACATTTTTTATATGTTGTTTATTGATATTAAAAGAGTACAAATCATTTATGAAATAAAAATAAAATCGATTTTTTTACATTTCTAAACCAAAATACTTAAATCCATTTCTCATGTCAATAAACTCGGGTAAAAATTTTCTGAGTTTAACTTGTTGATTTTTTTAATACCAAATTTTATGCTATGCTTGATTTTGGGTGACAGAATGGCCACGGTATTACTAGGATTCAAAACTAATTTCACTATTCGTACGTCAATGTTTTTGATACAAACAATGCCAGGACAATAGAAGCGATATTTCCATTTCAAAGAGCGCTTTTTAAATTTGCAAGTAAGTCAAAAGGCTAAAGCTCACTTTCAAACAACTTTATTCACATGTGTTGTGTCTATTTTGGCGATTCAACCCATCACATGGAACTTTCTTTCGAGCCTCCGGGCAAAAAGACCATGAGAACTGGCATCTATTACAAGTTCATACCTACAGAAATATGTTAACTGCACAAATAAAGAAGGTGCTTGTTGTTCTCCCCTTCTCCGGCAAATAAGACTAACGTCTGCATTGGCAGAAATTAATTAAGTCATTTTGATTTAATCGAAATGAGCCAGCGAATGAGGTGAACCGATATGTAGTAACTCGTAGCGACACCAACAACGCGGCGTTCAAGTGATTTAATTTACTTGAGTGCTGTGGCAGGAAGAAAATTGTGCCACACGATGACAATAATGTACAAGCAACAAAAAAGGAGCAAACAGCCGCAATAGCAACAACAATATATTGAGCAGCAACAAAACCGCACAATCGCCAAACAAGCACGAAGTAAGTACTACATTAGCAATAACAATAATAACATTGAAAACAGCGAAATAGAACGCGATTGCCACGGTAAGCGAGTCTAAGTAGACAAGAGCAGACAACAACAGTCGCTGCCTGCCTACAGCCTAGAGCCGGGCAATATTGTATGCATTGAAAGTTAGTGACGACAGCAGAGGCTGCGGCGCGGCATCAATTTTGTCCAGTAGCAAGGAAAATGTCACGTTTTCACATAACTCAAGAGGAGCCCGTGACTACGCGCCTTGGATTACGAAAAAAGTTGTCGAAGAGAGTGCAGCAGCAGCAGCAACGGCAACATGCTGCCGAGAAAAATTCAAGTAGCCTGTGGCAATCGAGCGTGAGAAATGTTTGCGAGTTTTTCTGTTCTAATTTTTCACGTTTTCTTCGACAAGCGAACAAATCATCTGAAGTGCAGCGCAGAAAAGTGGCAGC